CACTGTGTCTCTTCAGAAGAAGTGTTGTTGTTCACTGAAGATCTGATACACATGAGGAAATCTGCATAAAATGCTTTCTGCAGGCAAGAATTTACAGTAACCTTTGTAGCACTAAACCAACAGAATGAAAATAATCCAAACAAAGACTAATCACCATGAACAAGCATTAGTCCTCTTCAAATTGATGATAATAACTTCAGCAATTCTGGTACTCACTTTTAATGTGACTTCTCATCTGAGTTTGCTACTTCTACACAGCAACACTTCCCTTTTGGAGAAATTTTTCTGCTAAAACCAGAATGGTGCTTAAAACATCAGCAGCTCCTCTTCCTTCAGCTCAGAAATCCCAAGCCATTTCATAACTGAAACAGCAGAGGAGCCAGGGGCTCTGTGGAGTCCATGAGAGGCCTTACTACTGCCACTTGGTTTTCCATGGAAAGTTGTTAGCCGCTGCAGTATGTGCCCTAAAACAGTCAGCTTAAGAAATACTGGGATGAAGATTGTGGAAAAGCTTGACTAGAATGAATACTTCTAACCTCATGTGAATTTGCTGTGGTATTCCTGTTTTACCACATGTAGCTGTGTACTAAATAAAATCAATAATTTGGTGGTTTGTCTAACTTCTGCTGCATGAAGCTGCTCTGTTGTTTTGTCACAGCTATGGCCCTATTTTCTCTCCTAATTTGTTGTGCTTGCTCAGTGAAATTGAATCCCACGTCATTTCAGGCAAGTCTTGGAGAAGTTGTTTTCCTCAGTGCAGATGGCTGTTTCCTCCAGATGTGACAGGCAGCTAAGAGCTGCTGCATTTATTTTCTTAACCCTTCTGAACCCTCATGAAATCCCACTGATGCTATGGCTGCAGTAGTGCTGTGATTCTTGCCCCGACACCGATTTTCCCGTGATTATAAGCTGTCATGCGTGTCAGTCACAGCATACACTGCACAGGCTCCTAACGTAGGTTACTTTGGTCTGTTTGGTTTGTTTTCTTGTCTGTTTTAACAAAGACAAAGTAAAATTCAGGAGCACAGTGGCCCCTGGGAGATGTCCCTGCTGGAAGCTCTTGTGGCAACTTGGCACCGGTGAGGGTACAGCCTTTCGTGTTTGCTGCAGATGTTCCAGCCTTGCATCTTCAGAGCAAAGCAGTCAAGGAGAACCTGTACCCTGGCCATTTCCCTTCACCCTGCTTGTTTCATTTGGGAACACAATGAGCTGTCAAAATTTCCTGCCTTGTTTCCACAGAATCCTTCCTTTCACTCTAAAAAGGATTATTTATCTAAATCTGCTAATTGCATAAATTGTCAGAACAATTGTTTAGCTTGATTTTAAGGTGGAGAGCAAAGAGACCTAAAGGACTGGTGGACTGATGAAAGCTGCCCTCAAAGTCCTCTGTCAAAGCAAAAAAAGAGAGTCTGGTGTGTTGCCATGAACGGCCATTGCCTCTTGGAAATCAAAACCCATGTGATATGTTGTACATCTGGTTCAATCCTCATTCTTAGTGTCTCTGTTGAGTGTACTTAGATGTAATTAAAAGTAACAGGAAAGTATATAAATGTTTTCCAAATGCATGAGCCAAGAAAAAATGGAGGAAGGGAGGTGTGGTTGATTTAGCCCACCATCACTTCCTAACTAATCTTTCTCTAATGATGTAGAGAGAGACTAGGTGGCACCTGGCAGAGTATTTTGAAATAACAGATTCATGAGGTAGAGCTACTCGATAACATCTTTGACTCATCAGAAACTTGCTTTCCCTGAGGATAAAGCTAATACTCATAGAATATAAAGATTTTAGTGGCTTTTTCTAAGTCAGCAGGGATGCAGATTTATTCTATATTTTCATTTTATTCATATTTCCTGCACTGCTAGAGACAGCCAAAACTTCTATTATCTGTAAAATTGTAAAAGTGGCACAAGTAGCCGATCAGAACTATCAGTAATTTGCCATAGCTTCAGGTCTTCAGCTTTGCTAGATAAGTAAATCTCATTCACATTTCTTAATAATGCGTCAATACTTCCCTTGCTTTACCTCTCTTTACTGGAATTACTTTGTCTGAATAGTGTATATAAGTGTCTGAGTTGGCTATTCTCTGGTTCTGTATGAGACACCAGCAGTATCATGAAAGGAAATTGGACTACTAGTAACATGTAGGTAGCTGGGTGACAGAGCAGTTGGGGCAGAAAAGGTGACAACAGCAGTGAACTTCATTTAAAATAGCTGTAGTTGTATTTCCCAGCTTTGTGTTATCGTCAAGTATCACTAGTGCTCTTCTAATTGTGTCAAGCTCATCAATAATAATTCTTTAGGACCATTCCTAATATAAATTTTCTAAGGATCATAGAGTAATTTTTCCCAAGCAAAAATTTCCTTTCAGTGCACCTTGTTATCTTACATTTAGTCTTTTCCAGCTTCAGTTTTTGTACTTATCTGTTGCCTTCTCTTGTATGTGTAACAAAGTCCACTTGGTTGAATTGCACCACAGTATTGATTTATTTTCCTCTTGTCTAATACTTATCTATTTGATTCAAGGTAGTTGAGTATCTTGTATGATGTAGATTTGCTAAGCCCACATTGTGTTTTCTTTGGTGTTCCAGTCGTCTGCCTACCTGTAGTGTTCTCCTCTTCAAAATTTGGGGTAATACTGTTGTGATCAGAGTTAGGCAATCTTTTTGATATGTAACTGTGTATGATTTTATTATTCTCTAGTACTGTGGTACGTCCCTTGATCTGATAGACACATTATTTCATGTCCAGAAACAAAATCAGTCGTGCTGGGTTTACAGTATTATATGTCTTGGGTTTTTTTCTCAGAGTTTTGGAGTTTGAATTTCCCTCTTTTTGAGATTATCTGTTGATTTAGTCATGAGTGACATGTTTATCAGTGTGTTAATGCAGGGAATTATTTGCAGTTTCGTGTTAATACATTGGTGCCTCAGAAAAACAAAAGCCTTGGTCAAGGCATGCTCTGAATTATCACCCGTTCTTAATTTGCTGATGTCTCTATTAGTAACAGGCTCAAGCCTGCCTGGGTTTTTTTGAGTTTATATAATGTGCACCATATGCTTGCCATTCTTACTCTTCTGCAAGCATCAGCCAATATGATGGGTCTACCTGTGGCAGAGTGCAGTGCTTTTAAGTCTGGGTCCTGCTTTATAGGCTATGGCTCATGAGTGCTGATGAATCTTGCTGCAGTGTTTCACAAACTCTCCAGCTATTTGCTCTACCCTTCTGCCATTTAACACAAGGATCACAGGGGAATAGGTTCATGTGCCTTTGTTTCCCCAAGTTGTATGTAATTTTGATCTGCTGATGAAGGTAGAGCCACACTATTATCATACCTTTGAAGTGGAACAGCTGAGGAGCAGGTAGAGCTGTGCACCTCCTGCCCCTGCTATCAGAAGGGGTAAGTGGGGTCAACAGCAGCTTGAGTTGTTTTGGACAGATTCCTTAAAGTGAGAGGTTGGCAAGCAAGTGCTGAGAACAGGGAACATGTGCTCTGGCTCTGGAAGCAAAAAGCAAAGTGAAAGTAAGAGTGAGAGAAAATAGATTTATATTTATAACCAAAAGTGACTCGGTTTGAAATATTCTTAATTTGCGTGCGTGCTCCTGTGTCGTTCGTACCTCTAAGGACCCCTAGAGGGCACGGAAGTTTTTCTCCACCTCAGATATTTAACTTCATTTTGCTTGGCTTTCTT